AATTGCTATCCACAATGCTGCGCGTTTTGAATTTCCAAATGTGCACATTAAGGCTCGGCGCAAATTGAGCACAGCCCACGCACATCCCACGCTCAGCCCACGCGTGGGTTATTTTGTAAAACGTGGTTTTAGACGGAGCGACGCATATTAAACCCAAACCACGGCCAGGCCACTGCCAGACTTGGTTGGCGTGGATAGAGTTGTGCTAGCAACACAGTTTCGTGGGTCGTGGGTCTCTACCTAACCTTAGTTATTTTGTTTTGTGTGACCAATTTTTTGTTATTCGGTGAAAATGGAAAAGTTTATTGAAATTGTTCGAAGCTTTAGTGTCTTGTATGATACTAGTAATGAAGATTACATGAGAACAAAACTAATATTTTCTTTATTTGTGCTAAGCGACTCGGATGTAAGGCGCCGTTATAATTATTAAAAAAATAATTTAAATTAATTTTTTATTAAATCAAATGAGAAATGTAACAAATCGAGAACTAAGGAAAAAAAACAAATTTTCATTTCCTAGCAAAATGTTTATGAACACCTAAGATGAAAACTTCAAAATATGCTAATTAGTAATTAGAAAGTCAATATCGGCAAAACCAGCTTATTCAAATTATGGGTATCTACCTGTTATAGTCTTTTGTTGAAGGATTTCAATTTATTACCCTTATCATATGAAAAAGTTCTCAAGAAATTAATATCAGGTTCAGTCTTCAATGAAACAAAAATCTAATCTTTAACAGAATTTTTACCATGTAAAATATCTGCTTATTATGCTAATTAGTAATAAGAAAGTCAAATCGGCAAAAGCAGCTTATTCAAATTATATCTATAGTCTTTTGTTGAAGGATTTCAATTTTTTACCCTTAGCATTTGTGAAAGTTTTCAAGATATTTATATTTTCAGATTAGAAATTGTTAGTGGGATATTAGGTAAAAATTAAAAGGTCTAGAAATTAAAATCTTTATTTAAACTAATATACTGAAGACAGTCTATCTTTTCGTTGAATGGTATTTGCGAAAACAATCTCCTATGCATAGTCCAGGTTTTTCGTCACAATCAGCACACTCGTTAATTGTGTTTTTCCTAATTTTATGGAAAGAACATATTTTACACAAATATGTGACATGGGCGTGGGCTGTGTTCAATATGCGTTAGTATTGAAAAACGTGTACTTGGACTAGGTTGGACCATACGTGGGCTGCGCGTGGGATGTGCGTGGGCTGTGCTCAATTTGCGCCGGGCCTAAAGGGTGCCGTTTTCATCTCATGCAAGCTTGGTATCGTAATATCGGTGGTTGTGGCTTAATTCGGGAATATAAATTGGCAGACAGTGAAATATCTAAATGACTGAAATATGTTTTTGAGCCATTTTTACCTCCCTTAGAAGTCGAAGAATCTGTCATATATGATTTTATGGCTATTTAACCAAAGGATTCAAAAATTGAAAAGTTTTCCGACTACTTATTGGACAACTACATTGGCGACCACGCAACATTTCCGTCGCGTCGGAGATGTGGGCTGCGATGAGTGAGAGTTTACAATTAACAACTAATGCTTGTGAATCGTTCCACTCGCGTTTCAATGATAATTTTTACCATGCTTATCCAAATATTTTCCATTTTATTATTGTTTTGAAAAATTTTCAAAATGAAACTTACATTAAAATTAATAGTGTCTGTAATAGTGAAAGTAATAGACTTAAACATCCAAAGAGTAAAAAAAAATTATGTTCTTTAGAAATAGGGTACATGAGTATCAAACTAACTGTATCGATCGATTCCATTTCGTAAAATGTATGTCGTATTTATTTCAAAGTGACAAATAAACCTTATCAAGCTTAATCTCTAGAATTTTATTACCTGACTTTCCATTTACATTCAATTACACCCAGCGTCCAAATCATGTATGCAGAAACAGGAAATTTTATTTTTCAGTGTTAAATTTTAAATTTAGCGTCAAAATCATGCACGCCCTCGAATAAAGTTTATGCATTTTGCCGTAAATGAAGTCAGTTTCTATAAAGCTATTAATTATATTACCATTCATTTTTACCATTTTTACCATTTTTTACGATAAGATCAATAAAATTTATTACTTTTAACAATAAAAACTCAAAACTTTAAATTATTATCACTATAGCTGTTTCGGACAGAGCGCCTTTATCAAGTTTTGTTTTATTGTTAAATAAAATGAATTCCATCAAGTAACAGTCGAATCCATCACTTATTTATCACTTCCATTATTCGGTAGCTGTGAAATTTCTATCGTTAGAGCCTAATCTTTAAAGCATATAACATGAAATTTCGTTTTCAGCTTTGACAACAAATATAATGCATTTAAAATGTTCTTAAAAATGCTGAATTTCATATTACAAATAAGATTGGCAAGGGTCACAACAAATGGGTTCTTTATTATATCATATAACAGTGACGTGCAGGAAATATTAAATAATAAAGATACATTAATTACTATTTATAACTGGGAATAAGCCACAATTAAAGATAAAAATACGTTTATTGACGTTTCAATTTCCAATTCGGAAATCGTTCTCAACGATTGAAATCGTTCTCAAATCGAAGTGAGAACGATTTCCGAATTGGAAATTGAAACGTCAATAAACGTATTTTTATCTTTAATTGTGGCTTATTCCCAGTCATAAATAGTAATTAATTTACAATGCCACAAGAAAATAGCTTCAGAACAAAAATAAAGATACAGTTCACAGAAGTAAACGCACCAAACCTTTCGAACTTGTGTGAAAAGTGTAGATACAACTCAGTGCACTGGTTCCTACAACAATAAAAAGTGAGCATTAGCATTAATTTCTAAGATGGACCATTAGAAATACCTAGACCAGTAAAGTGATTAAGTTAAATTCAAAATGTTGATTTAATGTAAGATTAGAAGCACTGTTTTTTTAATAAAAAATATTTATTTTTGATTGTCAGTGTCCATTCGAGTACGTTGTTCTAGTTTTTCATTAAGACAACGTTTCTGGGTTTCCAATGACCTGCGTTTTTTTTTTCAATATTTGTTGGTGTAACTCACGATGCTTATGTTAATGCTGTAGTACTTTATCTCCTTACATTTGCTTTTCATCCAATGTTCCTTTTTTCTTTTATCGTCATACATATTTCCGCTATTTCCTATTTTTAATTTTAATATCGCTCTTACAGAATTTTAAAGAGTCTTAAGGAGATAAAGGTCGCTATTATTGGCACTAGCAAAAACATTGAGATATTTTTAAAATATGTACATCCCTTGCTTTCAATTCTTTTCTCTATTTTTTTGAGCTCATCTTCCTTTTATATCTGTAAATACATATATAAAGCAAAGGATTATGCGAAATAAATGCCATGAAAAAAACAGTTAAATTAAAAAAATATTTATGTTGGCAGTGTTGCAAATGTTGTTGTAACAACAACATTTAATATTTTTATTCCATTTTGTATTATATTATCATATCACACTGCATATTAGTTTTAAGGTTTAAATTTGTGAAATTCTTTTGTACTATGTAATAATCTGGACGGGCGCCGATAGCTTGTATTCAAAAGAACTTTCTAGACATAAGATTCTAAAATCGTCAAAAAATCATAACAATAACACGATCAATATAAACGATAATTTCCAAATTATCAATTCGAGTCGTACGAAAAACCCCAACAGCCAACGCAAATTTAAAAATAACCTTTCTCGTCGACCATAAACCTGCTCAGGAATTTTACCAATGAAAGGAGAGTTGAAGGTTATGAAATGCAAACAGATCCTTCCTATACGTCGAGGATCAAGGGGGTGAGTTGACATTATTTTAAATCCAGAATTGGGTGAGCTCGAAGGTCCGGTTCGCGCATAAGGTCTATCAAGCACTAAACAATAATCTTTATACTGCCACTGTTTTTTGTGACTGTGTCAAAGCTTTTAATTGTGTAAATCACGACATTTTAATAAAAAACTAAATTTCTACGGAATTCGAGGTATTTCTTTGAATTTGTTCCAATCTTACTTGAGGAACAGAAAACAACTAGTTAGAGCAAATAATACTGACTCTAGTCACAAAAGCATTGTATGTGGAGTACCACAAGGTTCAGTACTCGGTCTTCTACTTTTCCTTATCTTTATAAATGACATCACTAACTTAAAAATCGATGGGAAAATTTTTCTTTTTGCTGATGATACCAGTATTACCTGAACGAACTCTAAAATTGCAACTCTTAATGCAATTATAACTTCTGATCTACTTAAAATAAAAACCTTGCAAGACTCTAATTTACTCTCTCTTAACGTGAATAAGAAAGTAGCATTATCCTTTATAGAAGTTCTTCAAGCCTTGCTTCTTAATGCAACCGTTTTTTGCACCATAAAGATACCATAAAAAAATTATAACCAAAAGTTTTAAGTTGCACGCACTTGGAGGTTATTCCAGACATTATCTTCATAACCCTGTGCTAGAGTAAAGAAACTACCTACTGCCTTTAAGTATTTAATATAAAATCTGGATAAAGAACAAACACCTTTCCCTTAAAATGAATCTTCCCTTATATATTTTTCCACTAGATTATAAAATCAATCAAATCATTTGGTAATTTTGAAAAATACCGAAAAAAAATTAATATTGAATGGGTCATTCAGAATTAATGTATTTAGTTTTTTTCCTCCGTCTACCTTTAGGTTATATTCTCCCCATATCCGTTGCCCGTTTAGTTTGTTAGAGGTAATGGATTTTGACAAGAGCTATGAATCATGTTGATGCAGTACACAAGTTTACCTGTTAGTTACAAGGTCATAGCTCTTGTCAAAATCCATTACCTATAGTAAAGTCGCTATAGAAAGGCATCTTAGCGTGAAAATTGTCCCTGTATAAAAACTTTAAAAAACTAAAAAAGGAATTATAACTTATTATTTATTAATAAATAGTATTTATTTTATAATTGAAATAAAATCATTTATTATTTGAATTTATTTATAATAAACACAAATACAAAATCAAATATTATTAGTAAATATTACATTACGAAATATTTTCGATATTTTTCTTTTTTGCTTGATAGTCATTCTTTGCCATTTCCCTTAGCGTTTGTTTCATTGTTAATCCTGTTTCGTCTACCATTTTACTGAAGTATCCTTTGGAATTTTCTAAAAGTTTAAATGCATGATCAAATTCCATCATTTCACCAGCGTCCATCACCAAAATTCGATCAGAGTCCATAATTGTATTTAATCTATGGGCAATAGTTATAACGGTGCAGTCTTTAAACCTTTCACGGATAGTTTCTTGAATAAGAGTATCAGTTCTGTAATAAAGAAAACTATTAAAACAAAAAAATAAAGAGCTATTAAAGAAAAAAAGAAAACTAGTTTTTTAAATGTTACCACTTACTTTTTCCAATTACTCTAGTTATTTAGTAACAGTAACCGAAAAAAGTTTGCCATGGCAGTTACCATTGCAGTCGTTTGTATTTAGCAGGTACAGTAAAACCTCGATATAACGGACCTCTATTTAACAGACTTCGGCTATAACGGACAAAAAATCCCGTCATATGTAAAAAAAATAAAAACATAGTGTTTGTTATGGTTTGTTTGGCGTACTTTTCCTGAAAGCAACAAGTCTCCAAATATGAAAAATCGAATTCTGGAAGAAAAATCAGCAAGGATAGGATCTCAGCACTGCTTTGTGCTAACGCCGATGTATCGCATAGATTGACTATTATAATGGGTGGTAAATCTCGTTTAAAGAATTTTAAAAGTTATAATGCATCATCTGCCCGTTTCATATTATAGCTCTAAAAAGGCATGGTTCACCTCAGATATTTTCAAAAATTGATTTTTCAAATGATTTAGTGAGAAAATTTCAAGAGAAGAAATTAGGAACTTCCCGCTAGAAGAGATAAAATGTTTATTGCTTTTAGACAACGCTCCTGCTTCTTTTGCCCTTTAATTCGTCCAATTTTGAACATAGGCTTCCCCAGTTTCCTCCATTCGCTTCTGTTTTGTGCTTTCTGTTTCCAGTGTATTCCTCCTATCTTTCTAATGTCATCTCCCCATCTCATCTGGGGTCGTCCTCTTGCTCTCTTTCCTGTCCATGCAGGAAGAGAGCAAGAGGACTTCCTCCCGCTTACTCCTTTGAAAATATTCTACATTCAGAAGATGGAAACTTAAGCTGGATGTTTTTGCCAAAAAATACAACATCGCTTATTCAACTCATGCATCACAGAAAGTTTTTACACGAAGTAATGGTTGTATTGCACGATGGAGATCGTGTAGATAATATAAGAGGGCAGCATACCTTGCAAAACATAGGGTCTTACAATTTAAAATCAACAATTTTTAATTTTGCTGTAGCATGGTGAAAGGTGAAGAGCATGGTGCAAAGCATGGTGCAAGGTGAAAGAGCAAACATTAAAAAATGGTTGGAAGAATTTATTTGATGGACAAGATGAAGATAGAATTATAGAAGGGTTGGAAGATATTGATTTTTGTAGGACAATACATAATAATGCCGGAGAACATGTAGCTGATTAAGATGTTTTGCAATGGCTAGAAGTAGATGAAGGTGACCCTGGGTATAACATCATGACTGAAAGTGAAATAGTAGATGAAGTTATGAAACTAAAAAATGAGAATGAAATTAAAGTTAGCAAAGAAGATGACAAAACAACACTGCCTAAAATATTGTTGTCACAGGTAAGATCGTATGTCGACGATCTGACAACATTTATTGATTATAATCAGATAACGAGAGTTGATAAGAGTAATAATTTTAGAGAGTTGATCATAAAAAACAGCAAACATCGAAAATGCAAACGAAGCTTGATTTCCTTTTCAAAACAGGATTACCGACAGAAAGCGCGTCAATACCAACAGCAACGTTACTTTACGACGAATGTCCGAAGACAATTATATAGAAATTTGTTTATATTTTGTATTTATTATATCCTCCTTCCCAGTTTTAATCCCTTTTGGGATGTGGTGACACCATCAGGCCTTTACAGTTTTTTCACGATTTCCCTCCATCCTTCTTTATCCTGGGCTAGTTGTTCGGCTTTATGTATCTTGGTTAATCAATATTTTTGTTTAATCTACCCAACGGCTTGGAGATCTTCCCCTAGGTCTCTTTCCTTCAACTCTACCCTCGATCAGTTTTTTCATCGTACCTGTTTTTCTAGCAATGTGTCCAAAATAATTTATTATATATAGGTATCTAAATACAATGTACATGCATATTTAAAAAAAAAGCTTGTTTTGATTAATTTTAAACATATTTTTATATAACGGACTTTCGGCTTTAACGGACACCCCGCCCCCCAAGCAGTCCGTTATATCGAGGTTTTACTGTATAGCCAATTGAACTTGTCTGCAATAGGACCTGGATATAATGCAAAACATACTTCTTACTTAAGGAGACAGTGAGAAAGATTGAGAGAGGGGTGAAGAGGGGGTCTCTCCCTCAACAGTAGAAAATAGCCTAGAGCATAAATCTAATGAGAAAAATCACTAAACTGAGAAATAAATTAATGTCAAAAGCAAACTATGAAAATTTAGCTAAAAAACAAAACGTATTAGGCCAATAACAAGGGAAAATATAAATTTCAGAATTAAATATGTATATAGACTCCTGAAAGGAGGTCATTCGATGCTGCCTCTTCTTCCAACCCAATGCAGTGAAAAATATGGGTCTAGATTAGTCTCAGGATTAGACCTGAGAATCAGACCAATTCTGACAATTAACAGTTCCGTTTACGAAAAAAGTGTATTCATAGGAGAAAAAGATATTAAAGAGAAACTGTAAATCTGTTAAAATTCTCGTTTTTTATTACCTACATTCCCAATTACCTGTTTTTTAACTAACTTTAACACATACTACCTACTAACATATTTATCTTGATGTCGTTGATCTTAATATGTCCTACTGGTACATTTATTGTTCATAAACACATCGAAATGATATCTACCCTTTTCGGAATGGTAATACATTTTCAAAAACTATAAATTAATGCTTACAACTGACATTCACAAGAGAATCCTCTAATTTCACGTATTTTATTGGTTCGTATCATATCATTTATTTATTGTGACAGATGTGACAAAAAACAAATACTATGCGAAGAAAGAAATCTGGCGTACCTAATCTAATCAAATAATTAAACAGGTAAATATAATCTAATGTTTTCTTTTACAATTTCTTTTAGATAAATAAAATGAAGTGTTAAACCAAATTAAAAATTTTAAAGACTAACGTGAAAGGAATTGCAGGGTCTTTCAAACAAAATCTTATTTGACCTCCATTTCTATTAAAAAATGTTTGGGTGAAACAATATGGAGAAATATTAATATCGGAAAAGAAATAAAAGGCAGAATTTACGAAACAGTCATCAAACCAATAATGACATATGCGGCATTATGACCTAATACAGAGAGGACAAAAAGAGAGCCCTAAATAAGTCGCTCCCTCCCAAATAATCAACCTCAACATCTATGATGTTGAGGGTCTAGATTAGTCTCAGGATTAGACCTGAGAATCAGACCAATTCTGACAATTTACAGTTCCGTTTACGAAAAAAGTGTATTCATAGGAGAAAAAGATATTAAAGAGAAACTGTAAATCTGTTAAAATTCTCGTTTTTTATTACCTACATTCCCAATTACCTGTTTTTTAACTAACTTTAACACATACTACCTACTAACATATTTATCTTGATGTCGTTGATCTTAATATGTCCTACTGGTACATTTATTGTTCATAAACACATCGAAATGATATCTACCCTTTTCGGAATGGTAATAAATTTTCAAAAACTATAAATTAATGCTTACAACTGACATTCACAAGAGAATCCTCTAATTTCACGTATTTTATTGGTTCGTATCATATCATTTATTTATTGTGACAGATGTGACAAAAAACAAATACTATGCGAAGAAAGAAATCTGGCGTACCTAATCTAATCAAATAATTAAACAGGTAAATATAATCTAATGTTTTCTTTTACAATTTCTTTTAGATAAATAAAATGAAGTGTTAAACCAAATTAAAAATTTTAAAGACTAACGTGAAAGGAATTGCAGGGTCTTTCAAACAAAATCTTATTTGACCTCCATTTCTATTAAAAAATGTTTGGGTGAAACAATATGGAGAAATATTAATATCGGAAAAGAAATAAAAGGCAGAATTTACGAAACAGTCATCAAACCAATAATGACATATGCGGCATTATGACCTAATACAGAGAGGACAAAAAGAGAGCCCTAAATAAGTCGCTCCCTCCCAAATAATCAACCTCAACATCTATGATGTTGAGGGTCTAGATTAGTCTCAGGATTAGACCTGAGAATCAGACCAATTCTGACAATTTACAGTTCCGTTTACGAAAAAAGTGTATTCATAGGAGAAAAAGATATTAAAGAGAAACTGTAAATCTGTTAAAATTCTCGTTTTTTATTACCTACATTCCCAATTACCTGTTTTTTAACTAACTTTAACACATACTACCTACTAACATATTTATCTTGATGTCGTTGATCTTAATATGTCCTACTGGTACATTTATTGTTCATAAACACATCGAAATGATATCTACCCTTTTCGGAATGGTAATAAATTTTCAAAAACTATAAATTAATGCTTACAACTGACATTCACAAGAGAATCCTCTAATTTCACGTATTTTATTGGTTCGTATCATATCATTTATTTATTGTGACAGATGTGACAAAAAACAAATACTATGCGAAGAAAGAAATCTGGCGTACCTAATCTAATCAAATAATTAAACAGGTAAATATAATCTAATGTTTTCTTTTACAATTTCTTTTAGATAAATAAAATGAAGTGTTAAACCAAATTAAAAATTTTAAAGACTAACGTGAAGGGAATTGCAGGGTCTTTCAAACAAAATCTTATTTGACCTCCATTTCTATTAAAAAATGTTTGGGTGAAACAATATGGAGAAATATTAATATCGGAAAAGAAATAAAAGGCAGAATTTACGAAACAGTCATCAAACCAATAATGACATATGCGGCATTATGACCTAATACAGAGAGGACAAAAAGAGAGCCCTAAATAAGTCGCTCCCTCCCAAATAATCAACCTCAACATCTATGATGTTCGATTAACGAGCAAAAATTTATTGAACTTCCTCGAGACTGTCGCTAGCGTCAGAAATTGCAAAGTTTAACTGAAACCAGCCCTGATAAAACTGGCAGAATTTCTCCAAGTGTTGTTTCATAAATGTAGTGAATATCTTAATACAAATGAAACAGACAGTTTCTATAAATTACTGCAGACTTTTGA